CGCTGTGATTTATGTTTAAACTGTTTCAATCCAGTATTTTATGTAAGTTTCCAATTTTTAAGGTCGAATTTTATTAATGATTTGAGGTTAAGAAAAAGATCGGATTTTGGGTCTTTACAGGTGGTATCAGAGCCTTAGTTCTAAGAGAAATAGGTTATGATTTTAGCCTAAACTTAGACAGAATTAAGGTTGAAAAAATTGAAACAAAAATGATGAATTTTGACTGTTCTTCTTGTTGTTAGTGTGCTTGCTGTTAAGTGATGATTGTGTTGAGGTTAATAGATTTGTCGCTGTGAGTTATAGGAAAATGGTTTATACCAAGCCCACTAGAAGTATTGGAAGACGAGGACGTAGAGTAGTTGGTCTAGGACCAAGAGGAGGAATTGGAGAACGAGGTCAGAGCAGCAGGTGCTCTGGAAGAATAGAGAGCAAAAGCTCTGCAGAGCCAGAGGGCAGAAGCTCTAGTCGAAATGAGAATATTCCAAGGGTTGAGTCCTCTCAACCCACCTCTGTAGGGGATTCCTCTTATGATCCCACAGAGGGATCATATGAAGAGTACACTCCTCGAACGCCTGATCATACAGACCTCGAGGGGAAAATATCGACTTTGCAAGAAGAGAACGCCCAACTAAGGGTAGAGCTGTTAGTGGCCCAAGGAGCCAAGGACCAGGCTGACTGGTGGTTGAACAACGTGCAGAGGGAACACGTGAAGTTAGGTGAAGAGTTGAACAAAGTTTTGACAGTGAATAATGAACTTGGGGAAAACAACCACACCATGGCATGGAAGTGTGTAGAGCTGGAATGGGAGAGGAGGATTGCTTCACGATCATGGAGGGTGCGATTGGAAGATCATGCTCGCTATTGCCATGAGGTAGCCACGGGCTACTTGGACTCCACCAAGGAGTACTTCTCACGTTGGGCATGACAATTTCGCCAAGGCCCAAACTTGAGCTCTGTATGGAGGCATCACCCAGAGAGCCCTTATGAGGAGTTCGTGAGAATCAGAAAATACCCTATGGATATGTCATGAGTAAGAGGACGAGGAGAAAATAGTTAGCATATGAACTGTGTGTGGCTAAGTTTTATTGCAATAAGTCGGCAGCCTAGAGCTAGGATATCTCAGTGTTTTCTTTTATTTAGTTTAAACTTGTTAAGTATGAGTCGATTGACATGATTATGGAATGAAATAAACTTGTGTTGGTGTTTAAATCTTGTTGAATGGTTGTGGAATGCTAAGTTGTGTATTAGAATAGTTATTTATAATATGCTATACGCATATAGTTAAGAAAGAAGGAATGTCTCAACGATCGAGAAAGACTCTATCGGTCGCTCCCGATGCAGAGGAAACACCTTTGGTCGTGGCTACCCCTGCTGTACCAGGGGTGATACCAGCCTCTGCTGCGGCCACGAGGACCGCGAGCACTACAGGTAGAGGACGAGGCAGAGTACGAGGCAGAGGAAGATCGCAAACAAGACAAAGTGAGCCAGAGCCCTCGGTATAAGAGAGCTCTGCATCGGGCAGAGGCAGAGGCAGAGGTCGCACACGGGCAGCGTCTACCACCCCTGTGGACCTCATTGCTCAAGAGGTGTCCAGACCTCTGCAAGCTGCTCTGCCTGCTTTTTATAGCACAAGTAAGAGAGGCAGAATAGAGGAATGAAGAGGCTAGGGAAGCTAGCGTAGTAAGAGAAGTGGTTAGCAACATCAACCATATAGAGGACCATAGAGATAGGTCAAGAGCTAATAGTCCTGTCAACACTAGAATGGGACAGAGGGGTTGTAGCTTCAAAACTTTCTTAGCTTGCAAGACCCAACCATTTCAGGGTGAGCCAAACCCAGTTACGGCCCTGAGATGGATAAAGAAGACAGAGATGGTCTTCAAAGTTAGCAAATGTGCAGAGGAAGACAAGGTGACTTATGCTGCTTCCATGATGAAGTCTGAATCCCTATTCTGGTGGAAAATAATTACCAACCTAAGGGTTGAAGAGGCTGTAGCAAGGATGTCATGGGATGAGTTCAAGGTGCTGTTCAACGAGAAGTTCTGCCCAAGAACTGCTGTAAAACAGTTGGAAGAAGAATTATTGAGGTTAGAACAAGGAAGCTTAACGGTCAGGGAGTATACGACCAGCTTCACAGAGAAGACTAGATTCTCAGAGCATTATGTCTCTACTGAGGAGAGACGGGTAGAGCGTTTCATATGGGGATTGAAAGCATCCATCAGGGAGTTTGTCCTCACCATGAAACCAACTACTTTCCAAAAGGCTGTGAATGCAGCCGAAGTTAGAGAAAAGGAAATGGTCCGCCAAGAATCCGAGCGGTGCCAGCTGAAGAGGAAATGGGAGGGTTCAAACAACGAAGCCCGAAGACAAAAAGCTGGGAACTCGGAAAGGAAGGTATGGAAAGGACAATCGGGCAAACCATGTCCTAAATGTAACCTTGTGCATAGAGGAGAATTCCTGGTTAAGCCCAGGGTTTGCTACCGGTGTGGGAAGGCTGGACACTTGTACCAAGACTGCAGAATGGAACGAAGAGAGAGATTATGCTACATCTGCAAGTCACCCAATCATGTGCAAGCAAACTGCCTGCAAAGGAAGAAGGATGTTACGACCATTCAAGGAGGAAGCAGAGGTGGGAAAGGAGAGGAACGACGACTAGAAGCACCAAGACCAAAAGGGAGGGTGTTCCAAATGACTGCAATCGAGGCTGAGGAAACCCTAAATGTGGTAACAGGTACCTTCCTGGTTAATTTTGTACATGCAAAAGTGTTTTTCGATTCTGGCGCGAATAAATCATTTGTATCCACTACATACTGCCACAACTTGAATAGAGTAGCTAAGCCTCTAAGTTCATCATGAGAAGTAGAAACTGCTGATGACAACAGGGTAATGATTAAGGAAGAATATGATGACTGCATTATAAAGGTAGATGGTAGTTCTATTCCACTCAAGTTGCTCCCTATGACACTAGGGGAGTTTGATATAATAATCGGGATGGACTGGTTAGCTGAAAACCAAGCCAGAATCTTGTGTAATAAGAAGATAATCCAGATTGAGGTACCGGGTAGTGGGAGATTAATAATCTGTGGAGATAGAAGGGATAGGAAGGCTAACATGATCTCCCTACTCAAGGCCAGACGATGTATAAAGAAAGGATGCCAAAGTTATTTGGCATATGTGATCAACGCTAAGAAGGAGAAGAGTGCGATGGAAGATATTAAGGTGGTAAGAGACTTCCCAGAAGTCTTCCCGGATGACCTGACCAGTCTTCCGCCAGAAAGACAGGTGGAGTTTTAGGTTGATCTGGTACCTGGAACTACACCTATTGCCCGCGCACCTTACCAACTTGCACCATCAGAGATGAAAGAACTGATGACTCAGTTGCAAGATCTATTACAAGGGTTTCATACGCCCTACTACATCACCTTGGGGAGCTCTAGTGCTGTTTGTCAAAAAGAAGGATGGTACAATGCGAATGTGCATTGACTACCGGGAGCTCAACAAGGTGACTATCAAGAATAGATATCCGCTTCCGAGAATTGATGACCTCTTTGATCAACTTCAGGGTGCAAGTTACTTCTCGAAGATTGTTGGGGTATCACCAATTGAGGGTAAAGGATGAAGATGTATCCAAGACTGCCTTTAGGACGAGGTATGGGCATTATGAATTCCCGGTGATGCCATTCAGAATGACTAATGCACCTGCAACGTTCATGGACTTGATGAACAGAGTCTGCAAACTATACTTGGATAAGTTTGTCATCATTTTTATAGACGACGTTATTGTATATTCACGTACCAAGGAGAAGCATGAGGAACACTTACGAGCTGTTTTAGATCTACTGAAACAGGAAAAACTGTATGCAAAACTCTTCAAGTGTGAGTTCTGGCTATGAGAGGTGCAATTCCTCGGTCATGTGGTAAACCAAGAGGGAATAAAGGTCGACCCAGCCAAAATAGAGGCAATACAGAGGTGGGATCCACCCCAGACCCCTTCTGAAATTCGAAGCTTCTTGGGTCTGGCCGGTTATTATCGAAGGTTTATTTAAGACTTCTCAAAGATAGCTACCTCTTTGACAGCTCTTACTAAGAAAGGAGCTAAGTTCGAATGGGGGACAACTCAAGATGAGGCCTTCAAACTCTTGAAGAAAAAGTTAAGCTCTGCACCAGTCCTCAGTTTACCAGCAGGAACTGAAGGTTTTGTGGTCTACAGTGATGCTTCTAAGCTGGGCCTAGGTTGTGTGTTGATGCAGCAAGGGAAGGTCATCGCGTACGCCTCCCGGCAGTTGAAAGAGCATGAGAGGAGGTATCCAACTCATGACTTGGAATTGGCAGCAGTGGTATTTGCACTAAAAATTTGGAGGCACTACCTCCATGGTGTAAAGTGCCAGATCTTTACTGATCACAAGAGTCTCAAGTACTTGTTTGATCAGAAAGATCTCAATATGACACAATTAAGATGGCTGGAGTTGTTGAAAGATTATGATTGTGAGATCTTATACCACCCCGGAAAGGCCAATGTGGTGGCTGATGCTCTAAGCCGCAAAGAAAGGGGTACTCCACTACGTGTTAAGGCTCTAAGGATGGAGGTCACCACTAGCTGGATTGAAGACCTGAAGAAAATCCAAGAGGAGGCCTTGGTAGAAGAAAACATAAGGAAGGAAAGGATGGTGGGGGCTAGTCCATTGCTGGAAAACAATGGTAATGGACTAAAATGTTATAAGGGTAGAATTTGGGTTCCTCGCTTGGGAAATTTTCGTAGCCAAGTTTTGGACGAGGCCCATAAATCCCGTTACTCCATCCATCCTGGAAATAATAAGATGTACCGGGATTTATGAAAATCATATTGGTGGTCGGGGTTGAAGAAGAATATAGCTCACTATGTTGAGAAATGTTTGACCTGTTTGCATGTGAAGGTTGAACACCAGCGACCGTTTGGTAAACTTCAACCTTTGGAGATACCCATGTGGAAGTGGGACCACATTACCATGGATTTCGTGACTAAACTTTCCCCAACACCAAGAGGTTTTGATGCGATATGGGTAATAGTGGACAGACTCACAAAGTCTGCCCACTTTATGCCTATTAAAGAGACCTACTCAATGGACAGATTAGCCAAGTTGTACATAGATGAGATTGTAACCCGACATGGGGTTCCATTATCAATAGTCTCCGACAGAGACAGTCGATTTACATCTACATTCTGGCGAAGCTTCCAAAGAGAGTTGGGTTCTCAAATAAATCTTAGTACAACATACCACCCGCAGACAGATGGTCAGAGTGAAAGGACAATCCAAACGCTGGAAGACATGTTCTGGGCGTGTGCTATTGACTTTGCGGGGTCATGGGAAAGTCATCTTCTCTTAATAGAATTCTCCTATAACAACAGCTATCATGTGAGTATCCAAGTTGCACCATATGAAGCTTTGTATGGGAGAAATGTCGAACACCCCTGTGCTGAAATGAAGTGGGCGAAAAGCAACTTTCGGGCCCAGAAATTGTGCAGAAAACGGCTGACAAAATTCATCAGATTCGGGAAAGGCTGAAAATAGCTCAAGATAGACAAAAGAGCTATGTCGACAAAAGGCGAAAACCAATAGAGTTTCAAGTTGGAGACAGAGTAATGCTGAAAGTCTCGCCTTGGAAGGGCATAATAAGATTTAGGAGACGAGGAAAGCTGAGCCCTTGTTATATTGGCCCTTATCGAATAACAACACGTGTGGGTGAGGTTGCATATAAGCTGGAATTGCCTGAAGAGCTTCAAGGCATCCATAGCACATTTCATGTGTCAACTCTGAGAAAGTGTTTGGCGGACGAGAGCTCTAAGGTAGCTTTGGAAGATATAGAGGTGGATCAGACTTTGAGCTACGTAGAAAGGCCAGAAGCTATCTTGGATAGAAAGGTGAAGAAGTTGAGGAATAAAGAAATCCCTCTGGTCAAAGTCAAATGGAAACATCATAAGGGACCAGAGGCAACGTGGGAGACAGAGAGTGAGATGAGAATAAAATACCCTCATTTATTTACGTAAAGCAAATTTCGAGGACGAAATTTTGTTAAGGGGGAGAGTTTGTAATAGGTTAAAATATTATTTGAGGTTTTTGAGAATCTTATTTAATTTTTTTTAATTTAAGCCATAAGAACGAACATGCTGTGTGAAGTTCGCCAGACAATGATGTGTGATATAGTCCTTTCCCCCTCATGTTTTCAGTAGTTAATGAACTGTGTGTAAACCGTTTATTCAATGGGCCTTAGGCTCACCAAACTCGTGTTTTTTTTTTCAAAATAAAAAAATGCAACCAGCTCACTATACTTATGGGAATAGTAGCAAGAGCAAAGAGAGGGCGTAGCGCCAGGCTACGCGTGAAGAGGATAGACTTGAAATGAAGTCTAGTCATGACTTGTCTTGACGAAGAGTAGT